CCAAGTACACCTGCAGGTTCTCCAAGCTTTTGGAGCCAGTCATTGAACTCGTTGGTTTTAGCAAACAATTGCTCTCCTTTCAACAATCAGAGTGGATAGGGGATCTTTGCAAGATGATTGTTCCAAAGCCCATTTGTTCACTTGCATTTGGACAGAGGGTACCTTTCTTGGGCTTGTTTCAACAGGACACCCACAGCAAAGCCCACATTTGGGGGCGGAGGGTCCATCGCAGATCAGGAGTCGGACGCTGAGGCGTCATGGCGCGGGCCTGCGCCACCTACACGATGGCCTTGGCCTTGCTGGTGGAGGAGAAGGGCGAGGATGTGGCGCAGTGGCTGAAGAGGACTCCCCCTCCGCTTTCGTTTTTACACCTTGGTTGAAAATCAAACAGGACCCCATCTAGTCATCTAGATATATGAATGTGTTCCTTCTCGTTGTTCCGAAAAAGGGGGCATAAGGCACGCTTGGGATGCAAGGGAGGCAGTGGTGCCATGAGCGCGGCCTTGATGCCGGCGGGTGGTTGTTTTTTGGGAACTTCGATCTCGCAATTCCGGCGAGTTTAAAGCCTTTTCCTCTGCAAAATGGGGACCAAAGGGGGCTCCAATGCCCAAGGTGCGCTGTCCCCGTTGTGCTTCCGGAAGCTTTCAGCCCCAGGAGCCTGGACCGCATCAAGTCGGGTCAGTCGGACTTGGCCAAGAAGCCCCAGCCCAAGGAGGCCAAGGAGGAGACCTGGGCGCCCCCAGGCTGGATGTTGCAGAGTAGAATGTGGTTGGCCCCCGTTGAAAGAAGTTCTCTGGCTTCCCTGCGTGCCTGTTCCTCCGACACGGGAGGCAAAAGGACCATGAGCCTTTCGCGAAGTTGGGGAAAGTGGACAAGTCCTGGAATTTTTGCCCATTCAATCAATTGGTCTCCCGCAAGGATTTATTTATTTTTGGCAAGCAAATCGTCTGATCGTTTTCGTCCTTTGCCAGGGGAGGAGCTCGTGGCCTGCGAGGAGGTGCTCCGGTGGCTGAAGCGCGCCCGGGGCGCTGAGCTGCTGCCCTTCTCAGACATGGAGGCGGGCGTTTTCAATGGGCGCAGAATTGTTGGCGGGAGAACTGAGTTGGATTCAGTTCAGCGACCTTTTGGTGTTCCTTCTTTGGGTTTGGAGATGTTGTTGCTTGGTTCCCTTTTTTTGGCAGTCAGACCTGCAGGACCCCTTTTGTGGGGAAGCCACAAGGAGGTTGTTGAAGCGGCAGGGGTTTGATTTTGTCGAAACAAGGGATTGATACTGATTAACCCGCAGAGGTGTCAACTAACATGTCCAAGGGCTCTGTCTGAGAGAAGAGGGAAATCGCAAAGAAGCCGGAAAGCCTGTTGGGGGTCCCCTCTTTATGGCGGATTTCAGCGGATTTCATCGTTTCCTCAAACAGCGCGCCAAGAAGAGTCTCCTCGTTCTAGGAAGCATGCGGTGGATGAAATTTGCGAATGAGGCCAACGGCCCAAGCAGAGTTTCGTTGCATCCGGGGCCTTCCGCGTCATCGTGAGCCAGGCGACCTCGCTACTCAGCCATGAGGTAGGCACCGTGGAGATCCCGTCCGGCGCCCATAGGGAAAATTGACCAGCTTCAGTGCTGACTGGGATGAGTCAAAAAGCAGCGCTTTTTCTTTTTCAGTGCATCATACCTTGGGCAGGAGGCATCTAGCCTGCGAACTCGACTTCGGTCGTATTCAGGCAGGGAGTAAGCAAACCTGGACATAGGTTAGAATTTTGAATGTATGTGGAAAAGGACCTCGGGCTGACTAAGCGGCAAGTTTTGTTTCTCCCAGCTTAAATGTGCTTGTCATCGAGGGTTGACCCGTGTGGATGCTCACTGATCAGCTAAGGAGGAAGTTTGCGGAAAAGCAAGAGACAGCCAACTTGTTTGTTGTTGGGTGACTCGCCCCCCTTGCCCCCAGTCTCACAGTGCTGGCCTGGGAGTTCTGGTTGAAACCTATGATGAGCTGGCACAGCTCAACATAATATGGCAAGGGGAGAGCCCATCCCGTGCTGACCTGGTCTGCGAATTGGCTGGCCGCCTGCCATGACTGGTGTTTCCTCGTTTTGAATCCTTGCAAGAAAGCCAAAGACATCGGCTTTTCCAGTGCGTTGGATTGGCCTTTGAGCGGCCCTGAAGGTCACCGCCAGATCCTGCAGACATGCCAGGATTTTTAGCCCGATCGGCCTTGAACTCTTTTCACCTGAGGTTCTGCCATGCCTTCCGACACCTTCACCTGGGCACCTCCTTCGAGGCTCGGCCCTGCACGGCCATTTGATGAATCACCTTTCAGCAGTGACCCTTTAGACTCTTTAGACGGCGTGTGCCCATCTGGGTTTTCTTGGGGCATCGCCTTGCACGGGTCCACACAAAACACAAAGCGAAGGCGACCCTGAAGATTGGGTGCCCTGACATCTTAAAATCTTGGGCCACTGGTGGAGCAAATCTATGCCTCCATGGTGCATATCATGGTCGTATTTTGTGTGAACCGAAGACCATGGTTTACAAACGTGACTCAAATATGCGGAACTGCCATGGGAACTGACTAGATCCTTCCACGCCAGGAGGCCATGCGAGCCATTTTGGCAGGGGGCGGCGATTCCAGTTCGGTCCCGAGGGTTCGCTGGGGCGTTGATCGTATGGAACCCAGGGTGGGCGAGTTTGCCTCTCTTTGATGCTGACAGCTGTTTTGTTTTGTTTGGGTTTGTTTTACCGAAACCAGGGAAACTACTCATGTCTCATTTCTGCTTTTAAATAGAACTTGAGCCAAACACAAATCGTGGGAAGGCAAATGTTGCTCGCTGCCATTGCAATGAGAGCCCATGCACAGACTCTCATGCCCCGTGAAAGCCAGGCAATCCTCAAAAAGAGGGCAGGCAGGGAAGAAACATCGCTTTCTTTCAAGGGAAAGGGTCCTGGAGTCCAGCTCTTCAATCAGATGCTATCTCAGATTCTATCCAAACTGAATGACCAGCTCTTCCCATATCTCAAATGTCGAACTTCCCATACTCGGCCATCCTTCCCCGTTGGCCTGCCTTTTAGTTTTCGGCTTCCAATTTTGTTCATTTCTGGGGGGGGCTTGTGACAAGGATCCTCGCCATCGCGCGCCTCTCGAGAGCCTCTCGCGCTGAGGCAGCACTGCCTCCATCACGGGCGCCTTGCTGGGAGCTGCCCTGGGCGTGGAGGGCATCCCGGCACCTTCTCGGAAATGGGTCGGATGAAAAAGGCCTCGTTTGGTAGTGTGTAGTTGCTTGGGTGTTGGGTGCGTTTGGTGTTTTGTTTTCTTTATATGGTTTGATCAAGCTTGCGTGTTTGCCACCAAAGGAGATCTGGTTGCGAAGTCCCAGACTGTTTGGGCAAGAGGGTTCAAAGGTCGCATTCTGGGTGAGTGAATGTTTTTAACGATATCTGGTGGCTGAAATCCCTTTTGACACTGTGTGGCGTGAGGGTGGTGTGTAGCTTGTTGAAGCTCGAGACTAATTCTATGGTGCTTGAAGCTTTGCCTGGCTAGGGTATGCTGTCGTGCGATGAGTGTGCGGCTAGCTTGCGGCGTGCTGCCCGAAGCTAGCAGCGTCCAGCCACTCCAATGTGCCCAGCTGCGTGTAGAACAGGTACAGTCTTTCAGCCAGGCTTGAGCGCACAACCGCAACAGTGAAGACTTGTTAAACTGGCAGGGGAGTGACGAATCAATCAATTTGCAGCAAGTTGTATGCGTGGAAAAGATGAAGTGAAGAATCCTGCCATGTGATGAATAGCTCCCTGACAAGGAACGCTGGCTCCGGGCTGTGCTGGCCTGCGACCAGAGCCACGGTCAGTCGCGGCCTACGGCCGGGCCCCCAGAAGTCTGCACGGACAGGCAGATATCCTGGTGTAAAAGAAATTAATGTTCCAATCATCGGCAGAGTTGCATGCAGCGGGTACCCGATTGTTCTGCGCCAAGAAAGGAAGAAAGAAGATGCTTACGTCGGACCTGTGGTGTTCTGGCTAATTCTGGACGATTTCCCGAGGTTGGCGGTTGGTCTGGTAGCTCGTTTTTTGGGTGAACCGTGTGACATGCAGAGTAGGAACGCTGGCCATTGCAGTTTGTTTTCTTTTATACAAATCGTTTGAACTGAGGAGTTCCACCCCAAGGAGATCCCGGGGCTTTGCAAGCGAATCCTCGCCAAGTCCAAGCGGTAGGCGGGGCATTTGCTTGAATTCGACAGTCTCATTGAAGCTGCTTCAACTTGAAGGTAGTTGCTTTGCGTGCACAGCAAGTGGGGCCGCAGGCTGGCGAGCCATTCTGCACAGCGGCCAGAGATGTTCTTTGGCCACCCATTTGCGGGCTTGCCCGGCCAGACTCCTGGATCCCACCGGTAGTTGTGTTTCAGGGTGCCAAGGAAATGACGTTCGGCTTTCATTCTCACCTGCGCATTGGATGCGGGATTGGGAGATGTCTTGGAGGCCCGCAGTTCCATTGCTGGTACGGTTGGCGGGACAGTGGCCGCCAACCGGGAGGCATTTTGTCACTTTTGTGTCTTGACGTTTCAAGCCTAATTTCCGGCGCAAGCGATCAGCAAGGCCGAAGCGTTCCTGCGAAGCCGCGTCAGTAGGCAGCAGGCTGGCTCGCTGAAGTTGCCAAGCTGTGAAGTCGAGTAGAAAAGCTGCGGTCGCAAGGGGCCGTGACACAGACGGGCTGTCCTGGATTTAAAGACACCTGCAGAGGAAAAAAAGGTCTCAGCCGCGCTGCACATTCCTATTGGTATGCTTTAAAAATCCTGATGGCATCAGGATTTGCTAGGTGCCTAAAACAATTGAGGCCTGGCATGTTTCAATCCTGCGAGTATTGCACATTGGCCAATATGTTCATGTGCACGTATGTACTAAGGTACTCGTGCATGTGCATACGTGTGTGAACATGTGTTTATGGTCCATTCATTCGTGTATTTGTCAACATGAGATCAGCCCTTCCTCCTCATGCGCCGTCCATTTGGAAGCCGTACAGGACTTCGTGGCTTCCTACTACGAAGCCTACGAGAAGGCATGAACCCAGCAGGATATTTTCCTTGGATGCCTGCATGCAGGGAGCGCCCATCCTCTCACAGGAATCCCCTTGTGGATCCAGCATTTTGGGTGGTCTAGCGGCATTGCAGGGATTTGTGAGCTGGCTCGTGAAGATTTGCAGCGCTCATGTCAATATGTGTGAATGCATGGTCGCTGTCAACTTGGGAATGCCAACAGAATTGACAGGCCCCTGTGCAAGCAGACGAGGAGGAGGAAGAGGTGGAGGAGGCAGGTGTCTGGACTTAGTGGCAGACATGTGGCCCTGAAACACGGTCAACAAGTAGTGCAGCTGCTCTCGACTTGACGTAGAGGCAGGTGATCGCCGGAAGAAGCCCATCGAGCCTTTGCCGGCGGCAACCTGGCTGAAAGGAATTGATGCAACCTTGCACCACAGTCATGCGTCGCCTCCCCTTTTTCTGTTTGCTTTGGATCTTGAAGCTTGCTGTATCTTGCTGTCGTTCCTCTTAAGAGCAGAAAGAGCTGGATGCTAGCTTGGTCCCATGATTCTATTCTTGACGGAAGAGAGTCCGTGAGCAGGATGGTTCCTCAAGGTGAACACACAGCAATGCCCGAAACATGCGTTCTGCCTCACCGGGTTCGGAGATTTCAAGTCTGGATGTATATTGCCACCAGAGCCTGATGCGTGATTCTCTGCACTGCATTTGGCAATTCAAACAAGTTTCGGCAAGCGGTCCCTTCTTGAACGTCTGGAGGAAGGAGGTCATGTTGCACACGTTGCCCGCATGGCTGCGTTGCGCTGGCGCCTGAGGTGGACCACTCGCAGATCAAATACAGTGCTGCCAGAGCCACAGCCGGCACAAACTGACACCAATGGACCAAGGTCCCTTATATGTGACAACCTTTCACCACGTGGGTCAAACATCTTTGTGTAACATAGCTGAAGGGCTGCTGACGTGTGTGGGTTGCCAGAAACAGGTTCCCCAGGCCCGATTTCAGGACTCGTTTCGCCATTGTACAGCGGTCCCCGAAAAAGGGGTCACAATTTTGTCAACCCTGCACGTGTCACTGTTGATGGTCCTCACAGACAGGCGCACGAGGGGAAACTGTTGGGATGCTGGTCAACTATTGCGTCAAGCCTCTTGGAATGGGCACTGGGCATTGCTTTTTGGCGTCTCGGTGTTGTATGACCTCACTATCCATCTCCAAACTTGGCTGCTGCAGGTGCAGACCAACTTCTACACGCCCCATGCTGAGGTTGCCAAGATGACCAACGAGCAGGCGACTTCCCCTGACCCATTTCCACCTCTCTTGGTTGCAGAATTAGATCAATCTCCCGTTTCCGGTGCTTTCCAACACTTCTCCCCAAAGCGGTGCGAGCGTGCGAGGTCGCGCAGCTCCGGGTAGAGTTGCGCGTGAGCGCCGGGCTTAGCTCATGGGGCTAGACTGCGCGCCATCAGAAAGTGGCAAAGGGGCCCTCCAAGTGGGTGGCTACCTTTTGCATGGACCGGAAAGAGATCCCTAGTTTTGACATCTCGCGCAAAATTTGTCACACAGGGGCCAGTTTTGACCCATACACACGTCATGTGCCCCATGCGGACTTGAGTTGGCAAACAGACGCGTTTGGACTGAAGACCCTGCTTGCGTTTGATGTGACGCGACAGTCAATCAATTCCGTTTGTTTGAGAGGCACCGTGAGATTTGGATGCTTTGGTTAATCGAAGGCTCTCCTGTTTGTTCTGGCCAACACCCCTCGCGTGGGGATCAACTCATTGGTAATGATGACGCGATTGGGACAGGGTCGCGAAAGAAGGTTAAGGCAAGACACCTTTGGACTATCCTCGGCCCTGCGGTTGTCGGATCCTGAACGGCTGCAAGGTTTTTTCATTCTTGATCCAGCGCGAACTGGATCGGTTTGCATCCTGAGGTTCTTCGGCTTGCATGAAAGGGACGAATAACTCTTTGTTACCATCGAGGTTCAACTGGCTCCAATATCCCACCGCCCTCTACCTCCTTTGCCCACATGGCGCACATGCTGGGCCGGGAGATCATGGAGGTGCTAGCTTCATGCGTGCTACAGTCTTTCCTCGAGCGAGGTCGTCGTCATCGTCGTTGTCGTCGCCGTTGTTGGTTGGTTCTGTTCAATCTGCTTGCTTGCTGGCTGGCTTGTTTGTTTGCTTGTTTGCTTGTTTGCTTGCTTGGTTGCTGGCCGTCAAAGTTTGGCCCACAGGCTCAGCTTTTGAGCGAGAGGGATTCCCTGTCAATTCGTTTGTTTGGGTTGCCAGGGATTGCCAGATATTTTCAGAGCAGCCTCTGGTTCGTTCTTGATTCTGGCCAGAATCTGCCAAAGGACCTGGTGTCAGCCGTTGTGGGGGCAGCCTGCGATGTGCTGTTTTCGGCATCTTGCACAAGCACTGATCACATCTGCGATTCATCCTTTCCTCAACAACCCAAGGTAGATTTGGAGTTGGAGCATCACTGGAGCCAAATCCACACCCGCGTGATTGGCCGCTTTTTTGGGTGGTCCTCGGACTTCTAGATAGAACCCTCCTGCATTTGAGTTCGGCAGAGACTCAGCTGTGCCTCCGCAGCTGAAACCTCGCGGGAGGCGGTGCGGCAACATGGGTACCACCAACCCACTCCCATCCAGGCGGCCGGAGAGTGCTTTGGGACCCCACTTAGGCGAGATGGCCACTGCTCCATACCTGAAGGAGCTCGTTGTTCCTTTTGTTTTAAGAAAGTATTTTTAGATATTGAAATGACATTGACATGTTGCAGACGAGGTGATTGAGCTAGTGCTGCGGAATGGAGTGGATCTCGTTGGTAATCATGCACTTCAAGGAGAAGTCAATTGAAATGATTTGTTTCTTTCAATGTTCACAACCATTGTTTGCCTCAGTTCACGTAACAATGCTTTCAGACAGCCCAGACCGGAGAGCTCAAGTGTGTTTATTCAGCTCGAAATAAGAGAATCCCTCCATCTCCCCGCCGGAAATGGGTAGTTACAACCTTTGGTTGTCCTTGAAACCACTCCAACAATGGTTCCCAGAAAAGCCCAACCAGGCAGCCCCCTTAGCTTTTCTGGCTGGCCTAGAGGGTCGATGTGGCTGGCCTGTGCGGCTGGCTTCTGGGAGTCGATCGGAATGTGAAACACAACCGGGGAAATGGATGGTTTCAAAGGACGCCAATAAGAAGACATCAGCCCCAAGGGCCCAAGGGTTCCTGGTTTTGCCGCACAGCCAAATGCTTCAATCATTCCGCGCAGGCTCAGGCAATGCCTGTTGCTCTCTCTGGTGGACTCCTGAGGATGGAAGCGTATTTGCCCAAAGTTGAAAGGTTGTGATGTGCAAATGCGTTGAGACAGACAAGGAGCCTCCGTTTGAGAAACAGTTGTGCTATTAGTAGTTAGATTCCAGAGTGCTCCCGACCTGCGAAATGCCTAGCGATGTGCAAGACAAGAAGAAACAGCAGAAAGAGAAGAAACGGAAAAAGACACTGAAGTCTTGGAACACTACTACGTATCCACGCCTGAGGTCGTGACATCATTGGCATTGCCGGCAGCTTGAGGATTTCGCTTCCATGCAGAGACTTTTTCCCGTCTGGGACGCTAGGGTATCCGAATTGGTGCGAACGTGGTAGCTGCAAAGGACCGCGGGCTGTGAGTCCTTTCACTGGCTATCCCGCGTGAGTCAGCGCAGAAGCGACCGCCTTTGTAGATCATAAGCATGTTTAGGTGGAGTCCATTGATAATTACCAGGTTTGATTTTGCTCTCGCGTGAGAAGCTTTATCTCTTTGAGTGGCCAGTGTGGAGCGTTCGAAGGAGCTCGACTTTAAATTAACTGACTTTGCTTCGCTGCTCGGAGGTCAAAGATATTTTGATATTGGACTGGGCTGGGCGGTCTTTTGAACCCTCACCTCCCTTTTGCTGCTGCCTTAGGCAGAGACGGGCAGTGGCAAGACTGTGGCCTACCTGCTGCCGATGCTAGTGCATGCCATTGCACAGCTCGCTGCTGAGGATGCTCATTCCTCTCTAGAGTTCTAGAGTGGCAGACACTTGGGTGGTTGCTATTTGTGACAAGCGATTTGCTTTTCAGTTCAAGATAGCACAGAACGCTGAGTTGGGATAAGCCTGGCAGAGACAGTGATACTATTCCAGCTCAACTCATTGGCCCCCGAGTTCTCCGAAGAGAAGCTGAGCCTGCTGCAATCAGAGACGAAAATCGACCCTAAGGCCGGAACTGCAAAAGGACGACGGGCCCATAGGCGCAGTGACCGGGGTCCGGGGGGGTATCCCTGAAAGGAGACAGCTGCAGCTTGCTTGAAAGACAGCGGTACGCGCAGGTGTTGCCCTGGTCGTTGGTTGAACACCTCCATTTTTTCTGAGCGGATTGTTTGCAATGCGAATCGACTCTCGCCAAAATCGAGATAGCGCATTATTTGTTTCTTTGTGTGTTGTTTGCTTGCTTGCTTGCTTGCTTGCCTTGGGCCATGATTTTGACAGGTGTGGTGCTCTGCCCAACGAGAGAGCTAGCGGCTTGCGCCTAAGCTGGCTCCACTGCCCTTTTGCATGAAGATTTTACTACCACTGAGCGCTGCCCAGGTCCAGATCGAAACTGAGACCTACAAGTTCAACAAGCACTTGGGCACAAAGCCTAGCGTGCAAGTGGCTGGAAGCCATGCGCATACATGCCAATGCTATCCCCCAGCGGAAGGGTTGAAATGCTTTTTTGGTTGATTGCTTTTTGTCAGAGTGGCGACTTGACTCCAGGTCAAGGTGTCAGGGTGGCGCTGTGGTTTGCCGGTTGCTGTGATTTCATGCAATCGATGATTTGCACAGGGAAGATCGCAGGGTGACCAATCCGACATGCTGCCCAGGGTTGATGTTGTTTCGGCAAGGAGGCACATAGTGGTAATATATCATTCAACAGCAACCCTTGCAGGAGTTTCCATTCTCAGTAGCATCACTACTTGTTTGGTATATTTTGGTAGTATTGCAATTTAGCCTTCAATAGCATTGCTCAGTTTCTTCCACTGTTTTGTTCAATGCATAAGTGGCTGTTTGTTATCCCTAGGCGCATGCATGGCTGTGAAAAACGTTCTCTCATAGGGAATACGTCGGCATCACAGCAAGGTGTATTTCCCACCCACATTGCCGTCGTGTGCATGCGGCACGCGGCGTCCAGCTTTTCAGGTATGCGCAGCATCACCCTGGCCGGAGGCTTGAGCAAGTTGGAGCAGTTCAAAGAGGTCAAGCGCCAGGGCCCAAAGTGAAGCATTGGAGAGCGAGGGTTTCCCCTGTTTTCTGAATCCCACGTGTTTGAGAACTTGTCGCATCGTGCTTACACGATTATCATTCAATTCGCATTCATCGAGATTGCTGCTTTTGGCATGAGAAGTGGATCAACAATTGGGATAGAGTGAGTGCCACACACACACACACAGAGACACGGGCGTTTGACTCTGGGGATTTGGCGAGGGATCTTGGTGTAGGAGGCGTGCTTTGATTTTACCGTACTTCGCAGCCGCCGAAGGTGTTTTCGGCTTGAGGCGGTGCTGAGATCGCCATTTGCAATCCTGGCCGGCTGATTGACGTTGTCAAGCACGGGCCTTGGTGCAGAAGATCAAGCTTTGAGAAGCGCTTGAATCAGGCATTCAAATAGAAAGGTATGCAGTAAACATAGACTTGCGTTGACATTACTGGCGCTTGCAGCTACTTGAGCGGCTGCAAGTGGCTGTAAGTGGCCGCACTGCAGGTCACTGACCCGCAGCGCCTGCCAGGCATCACCTGCGTGTTCCATCTGCACCCGTAGTTCATTTGCGTGGGCGGGGCTGGAAAACCTGAAGGTCACTCACCTGCAGCACTTTGCCCGAAACTCTGCCAGGCATGAAATCTGCAGGTCACTCTGCCAGGCGTCACCTGCATTGTCTGCACCCGCAGCGACCTGCAGATTTTCCAGCCGAGCCCACGCAAATGAACTACGGGTGCAGACGATGCGGGTGATGCCTGGCAGAGTCCAAGACAAGTGCTGCAGGTCAGTGACATGCAGCTTTTCCAGCCGGTGATGCCTGGTGATGCCTGGCAGAGTTTCGGGCAAAGAGATTTTCCAGCCGGTGATGCCTGGCAGAGTTTCAGGCAAAGTGCTGCAGGTGACTGACCCGCAGATGTTCCAGCCGAGCCCACTCGAATGAACTACGGGTGCAGACGATGCAGGTGATGCCTGGCAAAGTCCAAAACAAGTTTCACGCAAAGTGCTGCCAGGCATCACCGGTGGAAAGTCTGAAGGTCACTGACCCGCAGCACTTGTCTTGGACTCTGCCAGGCATCGCCTGCATCATTTGCACCGGTTGCCTGAAACTCTGCCATTTGCGTGGGCAACAGCTGGGCTGGACCATTTGCAGGTCACTCACCTGCAGGGCTTTGCCTGGGACTCTGCCAAGGCATCACCTGCATCATCTGCATTGGTGGTTTATTTGCATGGAACAAGGTGAACATTTCAGTGGTTCTGAGGCAACTATGCACAAATGGTCTTTCTGATCACTTTTTTGCAAGGCTCACCTGCACTCTCTAGCCGGCTTATGGGATATTGGAGTAGTAGGAATCTGCATTCTTCCTGTGCTGGAGAATGTCCTGCTACATGGCAGGGGTTCGATTATTGGGATCAAGCCTTGATTTTCCGACCTGTTGGAGTCATACACTGACACTGAACTGAGGATGAAGGGCTGCAATCTGCAGCGATGTACATACATTGCCAGCAGCTTAGAAAGAACATTCCCAGTATTCCCCGATTGCGGCTACAGTGTGATGCACCACTCCATCAAAGTAGGGTTTGGTCACAGTCTGCCAGGAGCATGCTTGAATCGTCGTTTCTGCGAAGGGTAAGTGTCCAAAAGGCATCTTGGCTCTTCGTGGAACTTCCTCTCGTAGCCCGTGTAGAGTGGTGACTCAGTTTTGAGTGAGGCTCCATTCGCGCTGAGGTTTTAGATGAAGCTGACCGCATGTTCCACATGGGCTTCGAATACCAGGCCTCAAAGTCACAAACAGGCTGCGTGTTTTGAGCGCAGAATAGCCCATTCTTGCACACAGCACTGGTCCACCAGTCGACACGCTCTTTGTGCCAGGTTCGATCAATTGCCCTGCTCTTAGGTATGCCGAGGGCAAGGTATCAATTTTCAAGCGCACAGGCTAGTTCAACTCTTGTTGGCCGGAGACTTTCCGGTTCCCGCAGCGACCACTGTTGAAAACAACATGAGTGAAGCCTACTGCCATGCCGACCGAGGCTTTCTCGGTTGGTTGGCTACGACAGACGATGGCCTGTATGCATGCTTAAAGGTATTCCACAGAGTCTGGCAAGTTTGCTTGCCCCTTGGCAAGCGCTTGCCGGCCACCAGCCATGAACTCATGTTGCATGTTGCATCATATTGCAATGTGCTGAGGTGCAGAACATTCGCCCGAGCAGGCAAACATTGCTTTTCTCAGCGACCTTCCCGCAAGACCCTGAGACGAAAGGAGGCTGTCAGGTGCTAAACAGTTGGCTGCGTACTTATGGTGGCCTGAGTGCAGCTGCACTTTTCGCAGCTATTACCAAATCTCGCTGCACATGAGCAAGTGCGACCCAGAGTGCGTCCAAAGACCTTGGTCCAAGTACTATGATGGCCTCACTATGTTGAAACATGTTGCTCAATTTTTTTGGCGCCTCACCTCGTCTTTTGAAAAGAAGGCAAATCGAATCCATCGCTTTTCAGCGCCGCTTGTAGCGCGGCGCCATGGATGGCGACCCCGTGGTCAGAGTGCCCTCGGAGACCCTTGGCATCGAGCGCAAGTTTCCCACGGGAAGGCACCCCACATTCAATTCAAAAGCAACAATCGTATTCGTGGTTTTGCGCTCGATTTGTATTCTTGCTGAACCAACAAATCGTATCGTGCCTTGTGCGCAACCCATCTTGACACGGAAATGCATTGGCAGCCGGTTCTCCGGCTTGCAAATAGTGAGTCGTGTGGTGGTGGGACATCCCACACTTTCACTAGGAGTCAAGAGACGCTTAATTTAATGTTCAAATGGTGAACTCTGTTTCTGAGGATCTGAGCTTGAAGACCCCTCTAGATTGAGCTGTAGTGTAATAATCGATTTGTTTGCTATCACTGAAACATGTCGTGTCATTATGTCACACCATGTCACATCAATTCTGGCTCTGAAGGAAGGTGTCAAAACTAGGGATCCATCCATGTTTTCGAGTTTAGTCAGAAAATGCATCTACAATTTGACACATCCTGGCTCAGTCCAGCCAAGGACCAGCAAATGTCCCAGCGCGGGCGAGCACACAGGGCGGTCTTCCTCGAAAGCCTCAAGCGCCCAGTCCCGACGTCCGTCTAGTTGCGGGCTGGGGCTTTTTTGCCAATCAGCAAGACCAAGGGAAGAGTCCATCTAATTGTTGACACATGGCCCTTGTCCTGTTCTGGGGAACACGGATCAATGCAACCGACCCAGGTGCTGCTTGGTTTTGGAAAGCCTTGCTTTGCCCTCGGCTGGTTTTGCGGCGAGTTTCGGCAATGGCTTGAGCTAAGAATGAGATTTCCACTGCACGGGGTGGTTGTATACGGAAATCTGCCATGCAAAGTGCAGATCTAACTATATGTCTAAAGGGTTTTGTCATGTTTTTTCAATATTCCTAGTTTGAACTCCGACCAATGGAATCAAAGAGCAAGCTGGGGGGTAGCTTGCAATGCCCCCTTGCGCTGAGCTGCTCTTAGGTGGTACTCCGGCTAAGATGATTGAGCAGGTGACCATTGAAGAACGCTTCGAGTCGGATTTTTCCGAGTACATCAAGGACAGCGTGCATAACGATTTGAGTAGTCCTTGAGCCTACAAGAAACAGAGATGCCACACAGGTTTGCAGAATCACTCAATCTGGCGCTCGAATGGAGAGTTGTGTGCGAAGCGGTGATTCTACGCTTGTGTTGGTCGCTATTTTCATGTTTGAGGCACTGTCAGCTTTCAGCTTATGCTTGCTGCTCTGGTCAAGGTCAAATTCACTGCCATGCCAGTCGCAACCACTCATTTTCAGAAAGCGTGGCATCGTACGAATGCACTTTTCACAAGGACGGTCCTCGTAGCAGGAGCGCAGTTCGTGGAGAAGTTACAAGCTCGGAGCTGTCTGGACCTTGGCTCTGCTCGGGGTCATCTGGCAGGGTCCACTGAACATGCAGCAGGGCCAGCCTGCCAGGAACAGGGCACAGCATGGCTGCTCTCGGTTTCCCATATTGGTTTCCCTTTGTTTTTCCTTGTGGTTTCCCCTTAGTTTCCATGAAACCCACGCACTCGCTTTGGCCTTCGGGGCTTCGACCCGAGGTTGGCGCGGCCATGGGCGGAGCGCTGGGGGTGGCGGCCTCGCCGCTGCTGGTGCCCGGCCTCGCCTTTGCAGCGGTGGTGGGGGGCGCGGGGGGCTACCACTGGGCCAAGTACTGGGGCAGCCAGGAGCCGGCTGAATCTGACTCGAACTGGGCCTGTCTTTGTTTCAGGGTACCCCATTTTTGTGTGGTTTCTAAAGGAGATCCAAAGGCAAACACGAACAAAAGAAGAGAGACACAAAGGCTCCCATCAGATCTTCGAGCGTAGAGGAAAAAAGCATGGTGCCCCCCGCAAAAGTACAGTACTCCTCCCAAACACTATGACAAGTATTTTTGCGTCAAAAGCTACCAAATGCCTCCTTTAGGCGTCATTTGATGTAATGGTGAGGTACGAGTATGTTTGAATCGTCCTTTTCTGCTTGTCAGTGTTGCGAATCTTGCGCTTCTCATTTCTCTGGCCATCCTTCCTTGGGAACACTCCCTCGCAAAGGGGCACTCTCAGCCTACGTACTCTCGGGCATTTGGGATGTTGGGGATGTTGAGGGGGTCATTTCTGCATCATCGGCATTTGCGACATTTGCGCTGACATCGGTGCCAAACGCCAAACCTTCAAACGTATCGTGAATGCCAGTTTCCCCAGCATCACCACGGGACGCCCCCTGCATCGCCGGCATCGTGTGCGCTCACGCGAGTTTTTTTGTTTGTTTGTTTGGTTGGTTGGTTGGTTGGTTTGTTGGTTTTGTTTTGGTTGGTTTGTTGGTTTGTCCTGGTTGTTTGTTTGATTTTTTTTGGCTTCGTTGTATCCTTGTGTGTTTGTGCATTTGTGTGACTGTGTTTGCGTCTGTGTCTGCGTGCCTGCGTGCCTGCGTGCCGGCCTGCCTGCGTGCCTGCCTGCGTGCCTGTGCTCTGGTGTGTTTGCTTGTGTGTGAGTGCGTTTTTGAATATGTGTGTGGGTGCTGGGACTGGCGAGGCCACCTGTGCATAACACCATCTTATTCATTGAAATGTGTTCACCACCATGTGAGTCAGTATGAATGTGGAGAGTCACTTCACTTTGCACCTGACACCAATGGGACCAACGGAGGAGCTACAGCACGAGACAGGGCATGGCGAAGGCACGGGGATATGAATCCAACCATGGATACTGGCTTTTTGGAAATGCTGCAAACAAGCGGAGCTGGTATTGCTGGGTGACTGTATGCTGAGGTCGATCTCAGAAGCAGGCTTTCATTTGCTCGGCCATGCCTTTCTCGTTGAGGTTGGCATCTCATATTCGATCATATTCACGACTTGCAGGTTCGCTTTGGTATCGAATTCATGGCATGCCATTCATCGTTTGGCAAGAGCGTGTTGGCTCCCGCCTTCCGATTTCTATGCGCATTGGAATGCAAAATACGCGCTCTCGAGGTTGATGGTGCTAAAGAGGGTGACCAGCGGCTCAGGTATGCTTCGTGTTTCCCGTAAATGTTGGTGCCCCCATCAAACTCAATTCTAGCGAGTTGCATCCGAGTTTTGGCAAAGGGGTAGTATCTCCATCCAACTTAAGTTGATAGCAGTACCACAGGTGATTTCATGGTAGCACGCACTTGATTGCGAAGTGTGCTACGACAGTAGGGGTGGGGCGGAATAAGGCAGCCAGCTCCACTGACTTTTTGGACGCATTGAATTTGATGCTTAAGTTGTTGCTGTTGTTGTTGTTGTTGTCGTCGTCGTCGTCGTGGTTGTGGTCGTGGTCGTGGTCGTGGTCGTTGTCGTTGTCGTGGTCGTGGTCGTGGTCGTGGTCGTGGTCGTTGTCGTTGTCGTTGTCGTTGTCGTTGTCGTTGTCGTTGTCGTGGTCGTCGTCGTCGTCGTGGTCGTGGTCGTGGTCGTGGTCGTGGTCGTGGTCGTGGTCGTGGTCGTGGTCGTGGTCGTGGTCGTGGTCGTTGCCGTTGCCGTTGCCGTTGTCGTTGTCGTTGTCGTTGTCGTTGTCGTTGTCGTTGACGTTGTCGTCGTTGTCGTCGTCGTCGTTGTCGTTGTTGTCGTTGTTGTCGTTGTCGTTGTCGTTGTCGTTGTCGTTGTGGTGGTTGTTGTCGTTGTCGTTGTCGTTGTCGTTGTCGTTGTCGTTGTCGTTGTCGTTGTCGTTGTCGTTGTCGTTGTCGTTGTCGTTGTCGTTGTCGTTGTTGTTTGTTGTGTTTGGTTGTTGGTTGTTGCTTGTTGGTTGTTGGTTGTTGGTTGTTGTTGGTTGTTGGTTGTTGGTTGTTGGTTGATGGTTGTTGGTTGTTGGTTGTTGGTTGTTGGTTGTTGTTGGTTGTTGTTGTTGTTGTTGGTTGTTGGTTGTTGGTTGTTGGTTGTCGGTTGTTGTTGTTGTTGTTGTTTGTTGGTTGTTGTTGTTGGTTGTTGTTGTTGGTTGTTGGTTGTTGTTGTTGTTGTTGTTGTTGTTGTTGTTGTTGTTGTTGTTGTTGTTGTTGTTGTTGTTGTTGTTGTTGTTGTTGTTGTTGTTGTTGTTGTTGTTGTTGTTGTTGTTGTTGTTGTTGTTGTTGTTGTTGTTGTTGTTGTTGTTGTTGTTGTTGTTGTTGTTGTTGTTGTTGTTGTTGTTGTTGTTGTTGTTGTTGTTGTTGTTGTTGTTGTTGTTGTTGTTGTTGTTGTTGTTGTTGTTGTTGTTGTTGTTGTTGTTGTTGTTGTTGTTGTTGTTGTTGTTGTTGTTGTTGTTGTTGTTGTTGTTGTTGTTGTTGTTGTTGTTGTTGTTGTTGTTGTTGTTGTTGTTGTTGTTGTTGTTGTTGTTGTTGTTGTTGTTGTTGTTGTTGTTGTTGTTGTTGTTGTTGTTGTTGTTGTTGTTGTTGTTGTTGTTGTTGTTGTTGTTGTTGTTGTTGTTGTTGTTGTTGTTGTTGTTGTTGTTGTTGTCTGAGCCATTTTGTTTCTTTCAACGCAGAGATCAGCAAGCACTGAATCGAAACGATCGAGAGCATTTGGCAATCCACAAATTACGCCGTCCCCCGCCGCCCCCTGAACTTCTGTCAGGCGACATGGCAACGTGTCCCAGCATGCGGCGGCTGAAGTTCATGGCTCCTCGGCAAAAAAGCCCGCCCGTGGCAAGACGTCAATACTGGTTGGCCCCTGGATGCCCGGCAGAGTCTCAGGCAGATGATTGCAGAGTCTCAGGCA